CTCCTACCTCAGCCTCCCCAGTAGCTGGGATTACAAGCAAATGCGACTACACCCAGCTAATTTTTAGTAGAGATGGGGTTTCACCATGTGGACCAGGATGGCCTTGAACTCCTGACCTCCTGATCTGCCCGCCTCGGCCTCCCAAAGTGCTAGGATTACAGGTGTGAGCCACCATGCCCAGCTTCAAATATAGCTTCTTTTTTTGAGACGGAGTCTCGCTCTGCCGCCCAGACTGGAGTGCAGTGGTGTGGTCTCGGCTCACTGCAGCCTCTGCCTCCCAGGTTCAAGCAATTCTCCTGCCTCAGCCTCCTGAGTAGCTGGAACTACAGGCACGCATCACCATGCCCGGCTAATTTTCTTTTTCATATTTTTAGTAGAGAAGGGGTTTCACCGTGTTGGTTAGGCTGGTCTCAAACTCCTGACCTCACGATCAGCCCACCTCGGCTTCCCAAAGTGCTGGGATTACAGGCGTGAGCCACCGCACCCAGCCAAAGAATAACTTTTATAAAAATTTATTTTTACAATTAAGCTTAGGAATCACACACTCAGGGCTGACTGGTGGATTCTTGGCAAGTGAAGCTCCGTACTTGGGGTCCTTGCCTATGAATTGGCTAATTATAATCAGTGGTGCAATGAAATAACTCTAAAGAACTTATCACAGCCTAGTGCAAGGGCTCATGCCTGTAATCTCAGCACTTTGGGAGACCGAGGCGGGCAGATCATTGGAGGTCAGGAGTTCAAGACCAGACTGGGAAACATGGTGAAACCCTGTCTCTACTAAAAATACAAAAATTACCAGGGTGTGGTGGCGGGTGCCTGTAATCCCAGCTACTTGAGAAGCTGAGGCAGGAGAATCACTTGAACCTTAGAGGCGGAGGTTGCAGTGAGCCAAGTCACGCCACTGTACGCCAGCCTGGGCGACAGAGCGAGATTCCATCTCAAAAATAAAAGAACTTGGCTGGACGCAGTGGCTCATGCCTGTAATCCTAGCAGTTTGGGAAGCTGAGGGAGGCGGATCACCTGAGGTCGGGAGTTCGAGACCAGCCTGACCAACATGGAAAAACCCCATCTCTACTAAAAAAAAAAAAAAAAAAACAAAATTAGCTGGGCGTGGTGGCACACACCTGTAATCTCAGCACTTTGGGTGGCCAAGGCGGACAGATGGATTGAGGTCAGGAGTTGGAGAGCGGCCTGGCCAACATGGTAAAACGCTGTCTCTACTAAAAATGCAAAAACTAGCTGGGCACAGTGGCGCACACCTGTAGTCCAAGCTACTTGGGAGGCTGAGGCAGGAGAATCGCTTGAGCCAGGAAGTGGAGGCTGCAGTGAGCCGAGATTGTGCCAGTGCACTCCAGCCCCAGTACAGAGGGAGACTCTTTCTGAAAACACGGCGTTTGGAAACAGGATCCGGACTCCTCCAGCCCTATCAACAGGAATGTTCTTTCCCACCTCCCAGTGCCCTTCCCAGAAGCTCAGGGGCCTCAGCCCAGCCCAGGGAGCCAGCTTTCCTCCCAGACTCCGCTCCACGCCCAGGGCCTCTCTGTTGGCCTCAGCAGCCTGCATGCTCCTCAGACAGGGCGTGCGGCAAGAGCTCAGCTCAGCTCTATGGAGGTTCTGGGCCTTGCTTGGCACGCACATGTGCCGCGTCCCCACCCCCACACACATCTGAAGCAGGCAGGGCCCTGGAGGGGCACTGGGAGTGGGAGCTGAGGGCCACATCCACGGTCCATGAGAGCTCTGAACCCACAGCACTGCAGCTGGGCAAGCCCCAGTGGAATCCACAGAAGACACCGGCCTGCCAGAGGCTGAGCTCACCAAGATGCCCCGTTATCGAGGCCACCACCACATCTTTCCCCTGTGCTTGAGGCCGGGTGCACCATCCCCACTGCCCAAGACCACTCCCAGCAGAGCCAAACCCTGGCTGGAACCCAAGCTCTGAGCATCAGGACACACCGTGGTGACACGGGCAGGTCGCTGGCAGCTCCACATGACCCCATAACACCCCACCCACCTCTGCCCCTCACCCAGACGATGCCCAGGGCCAGAACAGGGGAGGCAACAGGGAGAGGGGGTGCATGTCTCACAGATCAGGGGCAGGGCGGAGGCCCCACAGAGAAGAGGGGAGGGATGGCCTCTATGGTCTTCAAGCAGCCACAGAGATAAAAATAAAACCCCGAAATTGCTTCCCAAGGCTGTAGTTGGGCAACAAAGGCTTCCAAGCCAAGGCACGGTCCAGGCTTGCAGGAGCTGGGGTGGGCGGCTCAGGCACTGCCTTGGTGGACAGTCGCATCTGGAGCGGGGTACCCACCGCTGCTGACGTTGGGCTGATGGGTTTGTGGTGGGTATGTCCTCATGGCGCAGGGTGTGTGGCAGCATCCCTGGGCTCCACCCACCTGTGCCAGCCGCACCTCCCATTGTGACGACCACAGCTGTCTCCGGATGTGGCTGAAAGCCATGGCTGACCTGGCTCCCAAGAGCACCCCCAGGCAGCCCCCACGCAGGGGAGGAGACCGGGGCGGGGGGTGTCCCAGGGCTTGTGGCTGAGCTGGGTAGACCTGCTGCCCCCACACTGGTTGCCCAGCCAAGCTCTGTAGGCTCAGACTCCAGATGGCTCAGCACAGCTTCCTGTGTCCCCTCCTTCACCCAGGGATGGGGCAAGTGAGCTCAGGGGCGGAAGGAAATGCCAGGAGCAGCTGCTCTGCTGAGGGTGCCAGTGGTGGGAAAGGGTACCGGGAGACTGGGGCAGGGCCGGGGTTGGCACTGAGTGGGCTCCGCTTCACTTGAGCGAGTTTCAGCCTTTAAGGCCCTGGCCCTGGGGCCCCTGCCCCGCTCACATGTGGGGAAACAGACACGGACGCCCGTGACCACAGCTGGGGCTTCGCCAGCTGCTTCCAGCCACCTGTCCCGGTCCCCAGCCCTGGACCCAGGATCCTGGCTGCTGCCCCCGTGTGGTGGCCTGGGGAAGCGCACCTGCACCAGCCACGGGCTCCCGGCTCCTCCTGGGGCAGCCACACAGCCTCTCCGTGGGGACAGGGACCAGCAGACAGGCCCTGCTGACCTCACCAGCCAGCACGTGCAGGGCCAACTCCTCGGACAACATGTGACCCACGAGTCTGTCCTGTTCTAGATAAACTGCTGGGAACAGTGCTCAAGCTCTCCCCAAGGTCTGATGGGCAAGCGGCTCAAGCTTGAGCCAGACACATTTCTGTGACAAAAACCGGGGGGGCCACCACATCCCTGGTGAGAGGCAGCCCAGCCTTCACAACAGGTGAGATGGGAGAGGCTCCTCTCCTGTCGCTGGGCTCTTGGTGGCAGAAGGACCTTCCTGGTGACCTGCCCACCATGTCCTGCTACCCAAGTCCAGGGGTCCTGCACGCCCCTGCTCTTAGGAATGCTGTGCTCCAGCCGGCACAGTGGCTCATGCCTGCAGTCCCAGCACTTTGGGAGGCCGAGGCAGGTGATCACTGAGGTCAAGGGTTTGAGACCAGCCTGGCCAACGTGGTGAAACCCATCTCCACTAAAAATACAAAAATTGGCCGGGCGCGGTGGCTCACGCCTGTAATCCCAGCACTTTGGGAGGCCGAGGCGGGTGGATCACGAGGTCAAGAGATCGAGACCATCCTGGTCAACATGGTGAAACCCCATCTCTACCAAAAATACAAAAATTAGCTGGGCATGGTGGTGCATGCCTGTAGTCCCAGCTACTCGGGAGGCTGAGGCAGGAGAATTGCTGGAACCCAGAAGGCGGAGGTTGTGGTGAGCCGAGAACACCATTGCACTCCAGGCTGGGTAACAAGAGCGAAACTCCGTCTCAAAAAAAAAAAAAAAATTAGCCGGGTGTGGTGGTGGGCACATGCAATCCCCGCTACTCGGGAGGCTGAGGCAAGACAATCACCTGAACCCAGAGGGCAGAGGTTGCAGTGAGCCAAGGTCACACCACTGCATTCCAGCCTGCCCGACAGAGCAAGACTGTCAAAAAAAAAAAAAAAAGGCTGGGCACAGTGGCTTATGCCTGTAATCCCAGCACTTTGGGAGGCCGACGCGGGCGGATCACGAGGTCGAGATGGAGACCATCCTGTCCAACATGGTAAAACCCCATCTCTACTAAACATACAAAAAAAAATTAGCTGGGCGTGGCGGTGTACGCCTTAGTCCCAGCTACTTGGGAGGCTGGTGCAGGAGAATTGCTTGAAAGTGAAAAACGGAAGTTGCAGTGAGCCGGGATCGTGCCATTGCACTCCAGCCTGGTGATAGAGTGAAACTCCATCTCAAAAAAAAAAAAGGAATAATGTATTCTTTCTTTTCATCAAGAGGAACCTGGAAACACCAGGGGCCTCAAGCTGAGCCTCAGGGATTCTCCAGCCCTGTAAACGACACTGTCTCCTCAACCCTCCCACCCCACCCCCCACCCCTCACCCTGAACCCCATCTGGGCCATATCTTCCTGCTTAGCCCCCTCCTCCACTCAGAGCCCCAGGAGGTGGCACACATGCCTGGAAAGGCTGGCTGCCGGGCCAACAGCCTGGCCCTGACGGCTGGACGGCTCAGAGGGCCCCTGGAGGCCACATCCACGTAGTGTGGCGGGTACCATCCACCACCGCCAGCAGCACCAGGACCTTCCCTGACTTCCCACTGAAGCCCCTCCCGGCCCTCCACTCATGAAACACGCCTGAGTGGCCCCCGTGCATTCTGGGCGCTCCCTCGACCCGTCTTGTCCTCCTGCACTTCCGCCATCTGGGTCTTCATTTGGCCAACCTCTCCCAGGGAATGCGGCGCTCAGGGAGGGGCTCCGTTCACAGTGATTCCACAGCACCCAGCCTGGGCTGCACACAGCACCCATTCGCTCCCACAGGCCCAGCACCCTCGGGAGGGTGGCTGAGGGCCAGCTAGAAAGACGGATGAACAACCTGCCACCCTGGTGCCCAGGGCCCCTACAACACCAGGGACTGGCGCCAGCCTGCATCCTGAGTCGCCACACCAGGCAAAAGCGGCTCTAGTCCCGCGGGGACGGCTGAGTACTCCGAGCATTTATTCCCACGGATCACAGCAGCAGCGGCGGGAGGGCGGTGCCAGGCTCATCGGCCCCGCTGGTAGATCTTGGGGGTCTGCCAGCCTTCGGGGGCTTCCTTCAGCCCCGCCTTCAGCCAGATGCGCCTCAGGTCTCTCTCGAACTTGAGCTGCCGGGGGCAGAGGGAGGGACCGCCGAGTCATTCGCGGCAAAGCCGCGCGTTCCCAGCACCTTGCTCCTCGCGGGGCCGCGGAGGGGCCGCTCACCTGCTTCCGTTTCAGGCGCCCTTCCCGGACCTTCCGCCGCAGGAACCGCGTCCTCTTCACCAGCTTCCGGTACTTATGGCGGTTCATCTTCCGCCGGCGGATCTTCAGCACGTTTCTGCACCGCATCGGGGGCGCCCCCCCGACCCCCCCGTGCCCCTGCGCGGCCCCCTCCCCCGTGCGGCAGGGCGGACACTCGTGGGCCTGGGGTGGAGCCACAGTCCCCGGGGTCCCGGCATCCAGTCCGGGCAGGAGGCAGCGGGCCGTAAGCCAGCTCTCCAGCGGGCCGACGGACATCTTCCTGGGGACCAGCGTCTCCTCCAGCGCCGGCGGGGCCGCCCTGCGGGGGAGGGGGGCCGCCCCGCCCGGGCCGGCTGGCTGCGCGCTGCTCCCCCGCCCGCAGGCCCGGCCGCGCGGCGCTCCCGAGCTGGGCCAGAGCCCGCGGCGGCCTGCGGGGAACCAGACGGCGCAGTCACCGGCCCTGCGGGCGGGGGAGCAGCGCGTTCGCCCCGCGAGCATCCCCCGCGCCCGCCTCCCGGCTGCGCCCCTCTCCCGGCTGCGCCCCTCTCCCGGCTGCGCCCCTCTCCCGGCTGCGCCCCTCTCCCGGCTGCGCCCCTCTCCCGGCTGCGCCCCTCTCCCGGCTGCGCCCCCAGGTTCCCTCCGGGAGCCCGCAAGTTCAGAGGGAGGGGAGTTCGTGCGCGGCCACGGGCCCGCCCTCGGGGCTGCCGAGCCCCGCACTCCGGCCCAGGCGCGTCCCTCCCCGCCGGCCCGCGGCGCTTCTTACCGGCCCAGGGAACGGCCCTGAACAGCGGGGAGGTCAGGCGCACCAGGAGCATGGTCTGCGCGGCGGCCCGGGCCCGGCGGAGCTGGAACACAGGGGCCCGCTCAGCTCCCGCGGCGGCGCTTCCGAGCAGCCGCGGGCGGGCCGGGGCCGGGGCCGGGGCCGGGGCCGGGGCCGGGGCCGGGGCGTCCGTCCCGCCGCACCCCTCCTCCCTCCGCCGCCGCAGCCCGCGAGGGGGGCTCGGCTTCAAACGCAGCTCGCGCCCGAGGCTCCCAAGCCCCCGACGCAAGCGGCGTCGCGCCCGGACGCACCGGAAGTTCGCCCGCGGATCGCGCTGCCCGACGCCGGGACCCTCGCGGCAGAACCCCGGGTCCGCCCGCCGCAGCGTCCCCGCTGACCGTTCCACGGCCGCCCTCACGCACTTCCGGTCCGTCCCCGAGCCCGCTCGGATCGGCAGCGGCTGCCTGGCGGTTCCTACGCGCAGCGCAGCGCAGCGCGGCCCCGGATTCTGCGTCGTCGCAGGCCCCGCCGGGCCCGAAAGGCGACGGTTTCCGTTTTAGGGAGTCACGGTCCGACCCCGGTTCCTCAGCTCCGACTGGTCCCTTACGGAGGCAAAAAAAAAAAAAAAAAAACTACATTTCCCATAATCCCAAGGGGGGGGGGGTGCGGGCCCTAGATGTGCCCTCGGGTTCAGAATCGTTTCCGGACCAGCCAGAGCCGACGGAAGTGCAGGCTCAGGGCTACGGAGGTGGAATTACCCGGAAGACGGAAGTGGCTGGAGGCGAAGGACCCCGAACAAGTGCTGAACATGTGCTACCGGGTCTCCCCGAGTCCTCATTCCTGGGGCTGGGGAGCTGCCTGGCGCGAGGTGAGGGTGGCAGATGGGTGACGGCGACTCCGTTGTCTGCCCCGCTGGGCGTGTTGACCACCGGCCTAGTTTTTGCAGTTTTAGTAGAGACGGGATTTCACCATGTTAAACAGGCTGGTCTCGAACTCCTGACCTCAAGTATCCTCCCGCCTCAGCCTCCCAAAAATGCTAGGATTACAGGTGTGAGCCACTGCGCCCGACCCTATAGTGTGATTTTGAAAAGAAAAATCAGACTTGGCCAGGAGCGGAGGCTCACTCCTGTCATCCCAGCACTTTGAGGCCAAGGCGGGCAGATCACCTGCGGTCGGGGGTTCGAAACCAGCCTGACCAACCTGGAGAAACCCCGTCTCTACTAAAAATACAAAATTAGCCGGGCATGGTGGCACATGCCTGTAATCTCAGCTATTCGAGAGGCTGAGGTAGGAGAATCGCTTGAACTTGGGAAATGAGGGTTGCGGTGACCTGAGATCACATCATTGCACTCCAGCCTGGACAACAAGAGCAAAACTCCTCTCAAAAAAAAAAAGCTCAAACAGGAGTACCCGTTTCAGTACAAAACCCCTGCCAACGGCTCAGATCCTGCCTTGATGTTGTTAGACCGACACAGACCAGCAATGTCTACCCTAATTTTAGACCCACTCCTACAAATTCATTCTTGGGGCTGAGCACAGTGGCTCATCCCTGTAATCCCAGCACTTTGGGAGGCCAAGGCGGGCGGATCAAGGTCAAGACATCCAGATCATCCTGGCCAACATGGTGAAACTCCGTCTCTACTAAAAATACAAAAATTAGCTGGGTGTGGTGGTGTGCACCTGTAGTCCCAGCTACTTGGGAGGTTGAGGTGGGAGATCAATCACTTGAGCCCAGGACTTGAAGACTAGCCTGTAACATGAGGCCCCATCTCTGCAAAAAAAGAAGAAATTAGCCAGGGGTGATGGGGAGTAGCTGAGGCTACTTGGGAGGCTGAGGTGGCAGGATCGCTTGAGCCCAGAAGATCGAGGCTGCAGCGAGCAGAAACCACACCACCGCACTCCCGTCTGGGCGACAGAGACTGTCTCAGTTGGCTGGGCCAGGCACACTGGCTCACGCCTGTAATCCCAGCACTTTGGGAGGCCGAGGCGGGCAGATCACCTGAGGTCGTGAGTTCGAGACCAGCCTGGCCAATGTGGTGAAATCCCATCTCTACTAAAAATACAAAAATTGGCTAGGTGTGCTGGGACACGTCTGTAATCCCAGCTACATGGGAGGTTGAGGCATGAGCATCACCTGAACCCGGGAGGTGGAAGTGAAGGGAGCCGAGATCATGCCACTGCACTCCAGCCTGGGCAACGGAGACTCAGTCTCAAAAAAAAAAGTAAATAGGCCATGAGGGAAGTATTTACAAAAATTGAAATCTAGGGCCTACCTTTTTTTGGGGTGCTAGTTAAATGCTCACCAGTGTAGCAGGCACAGGGTTTCCCAGGAGCCAGGCACCTGCACCGAAGTGTAAGGGACCAGGAGCAGGGACTGGCTCAGGATGCCCCACCCCAGGACGGGTGCTGCGGTGAGCTGTCCTGGGGCAGGGCTCAAACCCCTTGCTGATGAGATGGCAGCCTCTCCACCAGGTGTGTCCTTTCAGGGTTGGGGGCCCTGGACCGTGACACTCCAGCAAGGCCACTGCCAGCAAAGCCAGCCCAACAACTCCACAACACAGGAGCTGCTCTGTGTGGGTGCTCTACCCTGTGCGGAACTCGGGGAGCACCCGTGCTGGGCCCCAGCCGTGCCTGTGCCATCCCCACATTCATGCAACTGCCGGTGAAGCTCTGCAAGTGCTGGTGGGATGAAAGTAGCCCCCGGGGTTGGGCCTGAGGAGGTGGAGCGGAGGTTGGAGGGGGGGTGACTGCGGGACCACACGGGTACATGCTCCTCCTTCCTTCCGTCCTGCCAGAGCTCGTGGTCACAGCGCAGGCCCAGTGCCTGGGGGCAAATCTGAAGCAGGCGGGGACAGTGGCTTAATGGGTGCTGGGCAGGCCACCCACTGCCTGTCTCCCTTGGGAAGACAAGATTTGTGGCAAGACCTGCAGCCACCCCAAGTGCCAAGGGTGACCTTGAGGGCTGCCAGGGAGGTGCCCACCTACCACACCAGACGCCTCTCCACGTGGGTTCCTCCTGCAGGTCGTCCCAGGGCTGAAGTGACCCTGGCCCTGGCCTTGCTGCAGCCCCAGGCAAAGTAGGCAAGGACCCCTACCCTCAGATCGTTGCTTCTGGATCCAGGCCGGGAACTGAGCCACTTGGGATTGGAGGCTGAAGGGTGCTGAACCGGGCTTCAGCTGCCAGAGCTCCAGGGCACACATGCCAGGAGCTGGTGCCATGGCCTCTTGCTGTGTCCTTAAGCAGAGATGAGTCTGTGGGGCCTCATGGCTAGTGTGGACGTTCGAAGAACCTGGGGCAGACACTCACTTTAGCGCCCCTATCTAGTTTACCTCCAGACTTGGCTCTGGAAAGCCTGAGGGAGGACCTGCCTTAGGCAGCAGTGGTACCCTGTGTGGAAGCTGGGCACTGCCAGAGATATGGGACTGGAGGCTCTGGGGACACTGGGCCCTGGCTGTGCCCCGGGGCGTGTCACATTTCTCCACCTCGGCACGGCTGACGCTTGGGGATCGTCCTGTGCTCAGCATGCCGAGCAGTGTCCCTGGGGGCACTACCGTGCCCAGTGGCATGTCCCTGAATTCACAACCCTCCACCATGTCCCCCTAGCCTGAGCCCCAAGCTCCCTCCCATCTGCTTCCTCCAGACAGCGGAGATGCAGGCTGCATGGGGTCACAGGGCAGGCCACCCTGTTGCCTGCCCTTCCCGTCCAGCACCGCCCCCAGGCCCTCATCTCGTAAAAGGTCAGGACCATGATTGGTGTCAACTCTCCAGGAACGACCCTTCACCCTGGACAGAGGGGCGGCCTGTGACAACCAGGTCCCAAGGAGGCTCTGCATGGGGTCAGTGCTTTGGACGTCTCTGCAGCGGTGAGTGCAAGAGATGCACGCCATGCTGGAGGCAGCCGCCATGTGCTCTGTCCTAGGCCAGCCGGTCTCCAGCTGGGGAAGAGCGGGATCCCCGGTCCCATCTGCTGGCTTCGGCAGGGAGGCAGGAGATCTGCAGGACGGCCTCCAGACAGGATGGAGTGAAGAAGCCGGAAGGAGGCGGCAGATGGCCAGGAAGGGATCCCTGGCGGCCCCCGTCGCTCATGGGTATAAGCCACCCCACCAGTGCCTGGACAGTTTACAAATGCTGTGGCAACAACGGGGAGGTTATTACCACCCCTTTCCAAACAAAAGCCGGGCGTTACCACCCCTCCCTGCAAAGTCCTGGTGACTCATCCCTTAGTGTGAATGTAAGTAAACCTGCATATACAGTTGCCTGCAGTTCTGGGACCACTGCCTCTGCACTGTCCCTGCCTCACAAGAACCAGCTCCTTCAATAAAAGGACTGCTGTATGCCAGACGGGTGGCTCCCGCCTATCATCCCAGTACTCTGGGATTTGCATGTGCGACCCTCCAAGCGCCCTGCGCCCGGCTGCCTCTGACGCCCACACACAGACATCATGGGTTACAACCCAGTCCCCCCACAGCACCAAGAGCACACCAGAATCGTTCTGTTGTTTCCAAAACTTCCCTCCGACGGCCCTGCAGGAAGGAGCCTGTGTCCTCAAGGGCAGGGGGCTCAGGACCTCACAAGCCTTCAGCAGAAGGGCAGGCAAACGGAGTCAGACGAGCGGGGAGCCAGAACCCCGAGCCAGACGCTGGCCTGGTGCACGCCCGGACACTTTCACAAGCGCATATGACGACCACCTACCAAGTCTGTAACGCTCCAGATATCCTGAGTGGAGAGAGATGTGTTTATTTACCATGTCCAATGCACTCATAGGGAACCTCTATTAGGAGCTGGTGGCCTGCACTCAGCACTGCACAGATAAAAATATATGACTTTCAACACAGATCCAAATACCGTCACATTTTAAAAGTCAGGATTCCCTATACAAGTTTTAAGCTGACAGGATTAAAGTTCTGAGTTTTCATATATAGCTTTAACTTGTATTAAACACATGTTTATTTACAACATGGAGAGAGAATAAGGGGCAGTTAAGGCCATTTTCTCTTGTGAAACACTGCAAAATATGTACATAAGTACAACCTAATATAGGCAAAGGTTCTAAAAATCATCTTTCTTGGCTTCCCGTAATTGAGTGTCGGTCGGGGAGTGGAGAGGGGGCTGCCAATAGCACCAGGCCACGCAACCAGAGCGTGTGTGTTCCCGTTTTCATCCAGCCGCCCTCAGAGCCGCCGCTGCCGCCGCCGTGGGGCCCTGCACAGCCCAGATGTGTGCCGCCCCTCAGACCGGCATGAATGAAGTGCATGTCACCGGCCCCCCAATTCCATTTCCAAATCCACCAAGGTCCAGTCAAAATACATTTCCAAAAAGAACCCTATCACAGGGCCACTTGCGCTAAGGGAGCGCACCCAGGGGTCACAGGGCAGCCATCAGGTACCTCCCCGGGAAGGGCCTGTGCCCACCAGTCTCTGCAACCCCGCCTCACCTCCGATGCCTGCTGTGCCCAGGGTGGTCCCGCTCGTAGCGACGGCCGGTGCGTTCGTACGACCTGGAGCGCTCCCGTCGCTGGTCTCTGTAGTAATGACTTTTCTTCTTGTATTTCCCCGGATTACCCACCCGCTCCCGTGACCTGCTTCGAGAACAGGACGAGCTCCGGCTCCGAGACTTGTGTGGCTTCTGGGGGGGATACTTGCAGTCCTTGGACTTCCGGGAGCCCCGAATCTCAGAGCTTTTGTAGGGGGCGCTGCGGGGGGCCTGTCTTGGTGGGGAGTCACTCCGGCTCCGGGAGCGGCTCTGCGACTTGGACCCACCAGACGTGGAGCCGCTGTCACTTTTCCTGGGAAGAAGGACAGCACCAACACACGTGTGACCACCTGGCCTGGCCAGGCCTGGCTAGCCCTGACGCACCCACAGGATCTCAGACACAGACACACAACCTCCGGGTTTAGAGAAGCAAGAAGCCACCTCAGGGTGAGAATGATTGCCAGAGGGATGGCCCCACCCCAACCCAGTGTGGGCCTCCCCGTTATGCCCCGAGGCACACACCTCCTCTTAGGTGACGCCGATCTGGATGGGGACCTGGAGTAGCTCTGCTCACAGCTCCGGCTCCGACTTCGACTCTCGCGCCCCTTGGGCAAGCTGTGAACAGGACAGGGGCTGGTTACAGACCACCAGTCTCTCCAGCCTATCCCGACAACCACCTGGGAAGCTCTGCGTCTTACCCGTTCACGGGGCTGCCTGCCTTGGCCTTCCTGGTGCCCTCCGCCCTCTTCTTGCTGTTCTTCACAGAGAGTGGGGAAGGCTTGCTCCCCTTACCTTCTGTGGGGGATTCCGCTAGAATCAGAACAAGAGGTTAAAAGCCAACCACAAAAAAGCTCTCCCAATAATAAACAAGTTGGTAGAGCACGTAAGGCCCCTCGGCCGGGTGTGGTGCTCACGCCTGTAATCCCAGCACTTTGGGGGCCAATCACCTGAGGTCGGGAGTTCAAGATCAGCCTGATCAACATGGAAAAAGCTCGTCTCTACGAAAAATACAAAATTAGCCAGACATGATGGCACAGGCCTGTAATCCAAGCTACTCAGGAGGCTGAGGGAGAAGAATCGCTTGAACCCGGGAGGCAGAGTTAGTTTGCACCATTGCACTCCAGCCTGGGCAACAAGAGCCAAAACTTCATCTCAAAAAAAAAAAAAAAACACAACACAGAAGCAATGCAGACAGGCCCTCTGCGTGACACTACACTCTAGGTGTGATGACATACATCATCACACCATCTACGGCCCCGCACTGTAACACCTTCCCTAGATGACAAGCTACTGGGCAGCAGGTAAACAAAAGCGTTTCAGACAGCCTGTCCAGACTCCCTGTTAATCACAGATAGGCCAGGTGCCCATACTCCCAGCACTCTGAGACGCTGAGGCAGGACAGTCGTTTGAGGCCAGGAAATTCAAGACCAGCGCAGACAACATAGCGAGACCCAGTCTCAATGAAAAAGATAACACATGGGTCGAGCGTGGTGGCGTGTGCCTGCAGTCCCAGCTGTGCAGAAGGCTGAGGCGGAGGATCTCTTGAATCCAGAAGGTGGAAGCTGCAGTGAGCTATGATCACACCACTGCACTCCAGCCTGAGTGACAGAGACCCTGTCTCAAAAAGACAGTCTAGAAGGAGGATCACCGGCCTCTGGGCCTTGTGGGAAGCTGATTCCTACCGCCTAACAGACTCACCCAGCTTGGGGGCCGGTGAGAAGCCCGCGGTGCCGTCGGGAACCTGAGCACCCCCGGGCAGCAGGCCCCGGGCTTGTGCCTTCGCCTCCTCGATGGCGTGCTTCCTCTTCTCCACCTCACCTTCCAGGTGTGTGAGATCAACCTACAAAAGCCAGAGGATGCCATTCAGAACCAGGTTCTTCTGGCCAAACACAAACGCATGCAAGAAAAAATGCAGAAGAACCTTTTTCCGAGCATAAAGCTGCAAGATCTTTAAGCAGATTTCCTTAATTTCTTCTTCAGTTGCTCCAAACAAAAGAAACCAATGAGGACGATTGGGCAAAGGGATCTGTGGACACAAACACCATCATTGTGACACCTTCCTCCACTGCACCGCCAGCAACTCAGGGAGATAAAAACAGCCACTGGTCGCCAAAACGCTTTGGCCCAGATTAGTGTAATTTGAAGAACAATACGGTAAAGTTTACTGGAGGCTGGAGAAAAAAATCAGACTGGAATCTCTCCATAGCAGCAACCCACTGACCTCCAGCGTCCGGGCAGCAAGATAAATGCAGGCACAGGCGATGCTCTCAGGCTGGAAGCGCACGAATACGTCTGTGCGAAGGCTGTCGTTCATGTAATTCCTGGAAACCAAACGCAAGAACTGCAATGCCCCACCCGGGAACCCAGGACATCCGCCTGCGTTATCTAGATAAGTCTAGACAAATTCACTACTGTTCTAAGGAGTCTACTGCTAGGACTCAGGGCTGGACAGTCCAGTGAATCTCAAGAGTTAATGGAGAAATCTTCTAGCTTTTTCTAAATACAGGACAGAAAGGCACAGAAAAAATCAGAAAAAAAAAAAAAAGCTGGCTGAATGTCAGACAACGTGTGTTGCTATGGAAGAGAACCGACTTTAACTTGACTTTTCCCCTCAGCTTTGGCCTGCTCTCATGCAAAGCATGATGCCTCCAAAAGAGAACGTCTACTGTAGTCACTAAAACGCTTTTGATTAAAGAAATCTAAATGCTCAAAATCCATAGTGCAGAGAAACATGCAAACTCAATGAACTGGCTGGGCACAGAGCCGGCGGCTGCTGGGACACAGGGCGTCCTCCTGCCGTCCTCTCCCTCCTCTTCCTCGAGGCCGCCGGCGGCAGGGCCCTTCTCTGGTGACCGAGCTGCAGCTTGCTTGAAGGAGTCCGCTTGGAAGAGGGAAAAGCCCCCTGGGTGTAAGCTGGACGCATGGGAGCGTCGTGCAGAGGGAGGCTCAGCACCCAAGGGCAGGCCTCTTCTTGGGCTCACCAGAGCCGCTGCCAACTGTCCCATTTCAACAAGGAGTCTTAAAATGAACATTCATAAAATCAGAAGCAACACAATACTGAACGTTTCATCACAGTACATTCTTTAAATTTCATCATATTTAGAAGCTATAAAAATACAAAAATTCACATCTTTTTAAAGCATTTAAAAACTGACTTTTTTAGCATTTTCCTTTAGATACATCTAAGATTTAACACTCTAAAACCAGACCTTATACTAGCTTTAAGAATACTGCAATAACAAAAAGGGTTGATCCCATGAGGACAGGTGATCTGGTCTTATATTCACTGCTCCTCACGTACCCCAGTAACGGTGAGCCTTGGAGTTGGGCTGCACCCACAGATGAGACGAGTCATGCAAGGATCTGAAGGATTACCCTCCCCCCATCTCTGTCCTACATAAACCTTGGAGAAGGTAACACAGACTCACTCAGAGACTTCTAAATGGGTAAGTTCTACAGGTGCCTAGAGGCACGTGGCTCTGGAAGCAGCTCCAGGCATCAAGAGGGAATCTGTGTGACAGCCGTGCAGCCACACCCCCTGAAGCAAGGGAGCAGTGAGCAGCTCAAACACAGATCAACAATCAGTAACCTTTTGGTTTGTAATAAACAATTTTCAGTATTCAAGTGGTAATAATATTAATCCATTAACTTTTAAGTCTTAAAAACAAATGCAATCTTCAGAACATATAAACTTATTGCTATTATTTGAAGTGTTACAATATTTTTTAAAAGTATCCATGGAATAATTTAAAGATGCACACCTTTACTAGAATGCGTCACACAAAGCTGCTGAAAGAGCAACTCGAGACTTCTCCCACGGACAGGCGGGTTCCCCCCAGCCAATTTGTCACTTCAATTCTGACAGCTTTCCACGCCATTTTTTTTTTTTTTTAAGAGAAAGGTACTGCATCTTTATCATACAGGTACAGCAGTTTTAAAGGGACAAAATTCAAGTCAAGACAGTTACCAACTCTAATCAATACAATTACCAAAGCACGACAGAGGATTAACAAGAAGCACAATCGTCAGAGAACCACAAGCAGCAGTCGGCCATGGCTATGCTATGTGCGCGTACCACCAGTCTAGGGCCAGCCTTCGGTGGAGAGCCTGCACTGGATTGGCTGAAGACGCCGCTGTCCCTGCACCAAAGCGCTTGGACAGCAGAGGAGAAGTCTTAGTCACTTACCCTCAGAGGCTACCCTTTGATTGAAAGAGTACAGAAAAGAAAAGTCAAAATAGGTTCTCTATTAAACATGTCATAGCACCAGACAATTCAGTCAGCAAAAATATGACCCTTACAGACTTAACTCCATGGGAAAAAATTCACCAAAAAACCCCGAATACTAAATTGCCACTTTGGGCTTCCTTTCTGCCACATGCATTGTTAACATCAGTCCCAGAGCCTTCTCTGCCCCTCTCTCCCATGAGATGTGATTTCAGGGAGACACAGACACTAAGTCTACATTCAGCTCCACGTCCCTGGGAAATGGCCCCACTGTGCCACGTCAACAGCTCCCTGAGGACACCCACTGACTGCTCTCCTCAGGGTGGGGGCACTGAAAGCGCAGGGCTGCAGGGAAGGGACGGGCCACCTACCGTTACTGCCAGTGCCCATTTTGGGAGTCTGATTGGAATTTACACAGCAGGAGCACTGGGCACTCAGACAACTCCAGCCCACAACCAAGTCACTGGGCGGCCTACCCACTGCCCAAGTGCCTCAAGTCAACACATTCCTGCACTGCCCTTGCTGGTCTCATAAAACAAGGAAGCTCAACTCACCATGAGGTCTGGACCAGGTGTTGGTTACGCTCACACTCTAACACCTGAAGGTACATAACGATTATCTGGAAGATACGGGTCAGGTAGTTATTAGCAAGAACCTTAAAAGCCCAGAATTCAGATCTCGTGGGTGTCCATGCAGCAAACAAGAGCCTCATGCTAGATCCCAGGAGTGGCTCTGGGCCACATGTCTGGCAGACAGCTCCATGGGAGGGAGATTTGCGGATGCACCTGCTGTCTGCGTTGGCAGCCAGGCAGGATGCATGCACGCACAACCCACGGCAGAGGCCTCCTTCTTCACGGGCTGGTTTCATTCTCGTCTTCAGTACTTTCCACCAGGGAGGCTGGCCTAACCTACACGGCTCTGGACCCCAGTTCCCAACTCGCCAAAACACAGTATGAACATACTTTCAGCAAACAGGGAAAAGCACTCAAGGCTGGGCATGGTGGCTCACGCCTGTGATCCCAGCACTTTGGGAGGCCAAGGCGGGTAAATCACCTGAGGTTGGGAGTTCGAGACCAGCCTGACAAACATGCAGAAACCCCATCTCTACTAAAAATATAAAAATAGCCAGATGTGGTGGCACATGCTTGTAATCCCAGCTACTCGGGAGGCTGAGGCAGGAGAATCGATTGAACCTGGGAGGTGGAGGTTACAGTGAGCTGAGATCGCATAACTGCATGCATTCCAGCTTGGGCAACAAGAGCAAAACTCTGTCTCAATAAAAAAAAAGAAAGGATTTCAATCTGTGGTGAGCAATTTACGGATGATTTGAACAAACGGGAGAAAGTTGAACAAGCAAATGAGGAAACCCACCAATGAAAAGGAGATGAAACCAAAACAGAAACAATCTTTTGGGTAAAACAAGGGCTTTG